AAACCGAACACTACTCAAAGCCATTAAAGCTGCAAACGCAGAAGGTAAAGATTGGAGACGAGAACTACCCAAGTTCTTACTTGCGTACCGTGCGACCCCACATTCTACAACCGGAAAAAGCCCTGCAGAGTTATTATATAATCGGAAAATTCATACCAAGTTACCAGAGATCAGTGCAAGAATCGATCACAAAGAAATAAGAGAAACGGACGCAAGACGGAAAGAGGATTTTAAAATAAGAGCGGATGAGAAGCGCCGTGCCATACCGTGTGAAATTGAGATCGGTGACACTGTTGTACAACGTCAGCCAAAGCGCGATAAGTTGTCAACCGAGTTCGCTCCTGAGAAGTTCATCGTGAGGGAGAAATGCAGAAATGCAGCGACTCTCGAGGATGAAAATGGATCGTTGATTAAGCGAAACTGTACGGCTATAAAGAAATTTATATCAAGCGACGAAAACGAAACGGAATCGCATGACCTGGAAATTAGCGCAGACGAAACAGGAGACGAATTGGATAAAGACCGTTCTGTCACAGATACCGGAAGACCAACCCGGGAACGTAAACCACCCGCCTATCTAAAAGACTATGTGACCACCTGAGAAAAGAAAAGGATGACTTTTTGTTATTTGACTGTAACTTTATTCTGTATTTGTATAAAGATTAGTTATTGGCATTACAGGCTGTCATTTCAGAAATTATGTAAAGATTAGTTTTTCTGTCTAAGGTGAAGAGGGATGTAATGTTCATATCTTAAAATAGTCATTCAGATTTAATGTTTTCCCACGTTTAGGAATTTGCTATACCAGCAGAATGTTATATGTTAAATACAAGTTCAGTAATTGATGTTGACAGTTTCAGCCACGCCGATTTGTGTAATCATTTAGTTATGTAGTTTAGAATTAAAGCGTTAAACCGAGCAGACGTGTTTTCTGTTATAAGTGTCTAGAACACGGACAGTACACATGTATTGATAAAAATTCAGGTGCCTGTGAATACACCAATGAAAGAAAACATCAATTGTCATTTCCTGTGGTCAACATGCATTTTATATAGGAAGTTAGAAACATGGGTCCTTAAAAATTCTTACATGTTCTTCAAATGTCGAGAAAGAGGTCGCAAATCGGGTCTTTTCCTCATGTCATCACAGTCCTTTTCGCTTTCTGTTGGTATCCAAAAATTATCCTTCACGAGGTTCCGGTTTGCGGTTTCAGGCTAGCTCGTTCTTACATATATTCGTAGAAAAAATTCTGAAATGTTTTCAGCTTAATATTAGGCTAATATTCAATTCGATGTGTATATACTTATGATAAAACTATCGTATTTTTATGAGGCAAAGTTTAAAAATTTGTTTTGTCGATTGTAATGCAGAAATAAATCGCCATGGAAAGTGAAAGTAGTTTCAAGTAAGTGGAAATTTTACTTCCACTAGAAAACTTTGGTGCGCACCGAGTCAGGTAATAGGCCTATTTTGTCATTCAAGACGCGTCAAGATAAGAAAGATAGTGAGATATTTATTATACCCCGCTCCGAAGTATACTGTATACCCATGTGTGTCTGTCCGTCTGTCCTAACAATTTTTTGTCATAATTTTCTCCGCAGCTGCTCATTGCAGTACATGTCATATGGTAGAATTCATTTTTGTTTGAATGTGTTGTTTTAAAGTGAACTTATGTTAATTCACATGATTATTGATTGATTTAATGTTATTTAACGTCCCTCTCAAGAATTTTTCACCCATATGGAGACGCCTCCGCTTACCGCTGAAGAGCTACAAATTTTGTCCTATGCTTAGCACTCATGTCCATGGAGCAATGACTGTGAGGGATCTTTTTTGTGCCAGCACCTACTGCAACACGGAACCTTAGTTTAAATGGTCACATTCAAAGGACTATATACAGTACAGTCAACGCGGTTTATGCATTTACCGCGCACCCCCGCGGTGTGAATCTCATCGCGGTTAGTACAGGTGTCTCAGGTAAAAACCGCGTGCCCCCGCGGTTCAGTAATCCAGGTAAATCACACCGTCGCGGTGCATCTTACCGAATACAGGTGAAAAAACAGTCTTGGTCTAAAACGCGAGTTACCTCCCTTTGAAAATATCAACCAAAACAAAATAAAACGAAATTAATGATATTTTAACATTTATAGTCGCTGAAATATTTTAAGTACAAAATGAAAATTATTTTTTCTAAAAAATATACTCGCACGTATCTGAATAATTATAAAAATCGTCAAAACAAGTTTCAAGTAGCGTTTACTAATCCTTGAATTACTTTTTCAAAATGTTTTCATTCTATAAATTTAGATTCATGACTTTTGATATAAATTACTGTTTGTGATATATTTATACGACAATACAAGATAAAACACCCAGTGTGCTATTCGTGATATTCAATTTTAATTCATATTTTCGTAACGTGTTTTTTTTTTAATTTTGATAGTGGATTGATTAAAGAAACGATCTATCGTAGTGTCAATTTCATTGGGGCTATAAATGAAAGTGTTTTAAACTTATTAATCTTCAAATATAGGATTATAATTCGCAGAAGATTTTTATGTAATCAGCATTCTCCGAGTCGTCGTAAAGTGTCATTCCTTTATTCTGGGGCAATGTTCTTGAAATTAGTAGAATGTGTATGTGTGTGTAATTTGATGGCCTACCAATCCGTGGAGAATAAAATAAAATTACATAATGTCTAGAGCTAGACCTGGTACGCATACTTGGTTCTCACAGCTGTACACTTGACAAGGTGCGATCCCCTGCACCAGCCCTACCCCTGGTGTACACGTGCGTGCCCGAAAGCGGGTCAGTAAATTTCAACTGTCGTACATGTTTAACATACTTCACAATGACATTTACATTGATCATACAATTTAATACATATTTGAATTTTAAAATTATTTAAATTTACGATATGTAGATTACCATGATTACTTTCGTGTAAAAAGTTAATTTTGATGTAAAAATCATCCCCCTTCCCCCTTTTATTTACTTGGACACTATTAATGTGTCTTACACAAAACTCAGCACAATCACAACTTTGGATGGGGGTTATTTTCCCAATATCAGTAGATATAAACTAAGTTGATTTAGAAAATATTGTATTCATGTATGAAAATTCAACCAAAACAGTGCCAAAAAAAAACTACTAAGCTTATTAATGCAAAATTCTATTAGAACTATTTATATCGCGTAAACAAAAATTTACTGAAAAGAAATTCATAAACACCACAAACAATATCGGAACAACATTTTAGGTACATTTTGCATTGGTAAGTAATTTTTTGGTCCTTGTTAGATCTAGTACATGTATACACAGTGTACGTGTAGCTGCACGGACTAATCGTGGTCTCCTTAGTAACTGGTGGAATCCTGTGTATTGAGCGCGTTCAAGCGGAGAGGGATTTCCTGTCTCACAGTGACACTGTATTGGGTTTAATTTCACACCTTTGTGAAAGACAAATGATTTGGATTTTCGCAACATTTTGACACTTTTAAAATATAAAATCATATACTGGGTGGATTATAATTTTCGACCCCCCCCGGGTTCCCCTTCTGCCGTCTGCATGAACTTCATATATATATTTTTTAAACATACATGTAAGGTTGTATGTTTCAATAACATTAATTTATCCCAATATTAGTAACTTTATAATGGATTCACAAAAATAAGACTGATCTTAATAAATTTAAATGACTTTCCCTGTTTATGCTTGGTCTTCTACAAATACAAAAAAACTAGAAATGTAAACACCGAGGGCTGTCCTATATGTACTGTGTACATGTTCCTCCAAAATGACGACAAGCTAATGTATTTCATTGCGTAGTTAATCCCATACGTTGATAGGGGTGGCTATAGAGGTGTACATGTAAATGGTAGAAATAATATTAATTCTTTTACATATACATGCCAAAAGGACGATATATCAATTTATTATGCACAACGGTATGCACAACAAAGCACCCCGTTTCATCTGTTTAATTTTATTATGCGGAAAGAAAATTTTAAGCTTTCTTTTATTTTATTTGAATATTGAGAGTTAATAAATTAAGTAACACTAAACTGCATTCAAATACTTCTACTACTCAGTGTTTTCAGTTAACACGTTTTTCACATGAACATTGTTCGTACTTACAAGGAGTTATCTTAATGTATGCTTTCCAGCGGAAATGCGTTGCCGTTTAAAATGAATTTTGCCGATTAAAAAAAAAATGATAATACGAGAGAGAGAGAGAGAGAGAGAGAGAGAGAGAGAGAGAGATTTACTGCACATTGCCTATAAACATGTTTCAGAATATCTAGCTCTTCCATCCATCGAATATTTATCGAAACATGTATGCGTTTCATTGTAAAAGTGATACACGGTATACTGCAGTATAGTCATTAATTTAGAGAAATAAAGTTTACGCTTATGCTGGAGATATAATTTATTTTTTAAAAACATGTTTTAAAATCTTACATTTATCAAACATCAGAATAACTTGAAAAACAATCATACACTGTTTGATTTTTTTTTTTTGTCGTTGTTTGTTTGTTTTTTGTTTTTTTTTTTTGTTTTGTTTGTTTTTTGTTTTTGGTTTTTTTTTGTTGTTAAATTCTTCGGGTAGTAGTTACATTGTATAATATTTGTAATAGCTCGATTTTTTTTTACTCAAAACCTGCAATTTTACAGACCGAACAATATGCAGTTAAATAGATATTATACGGCCGTACAGGTAAAAGAAATCCGATAAGCCAGTCAACGGTAAGTCACATCGCCGCGGTCTATACCTGGCTACAGGTAGGACCGCGATGAAATAACCGCGGGGGTGTATCGCGGAAAGGATCAAAACACCGCGGGGGGAGCGCGGTTTAATGCCTAATCCGCGTTGACCGTACTGTACTTCCCACAGTGGAATTTGAACCCACAACGTAAGGATAACTCCTAAATGCGACTCTTAGAGCAGACGCTCTAACCATGCACTGCGCCATTCACATGAGAGTATGAACTGGACTAGCTGGATCACCTGCCATCAAACCCAACTGACCGTCACAATTTCCTCTAATAGCCCTAGAAGACACCAGCTCAGTTATTCCCTGGCAGGTCTTTCATCCGTCACTTCAAGGGCATGGTGTGGCTTCAAGGGTAATGGTAATGGATAAAAATGCAGTCAACCAGACTGGGATTTAAACCAGCCTTCAAAATAATGCGGAGTTCAATATATCATATGATACTGGGACCTTCTGAATCTCAGTCAGGTACTACCTGATCTAGCTGGGCCACCAGTGATCAAACCCATCAGACTCCAACACTAGTGAGCACTGGCTTACAGACTTCTTGTATTGATTAGACCTATACCTACTAGTGTGGTATATATAGAGAAGGAAGGAACCTCACTTCCAAATACAGACGTATTATACCCCATGCAACAAGTTGCAAGAGGTATAATGTTTTTGACCTGTCTGTCAGTCAGTGTGTCAGTCAGTCCGTTAGTACTGCTTTTTTTGTCAGCACAACTCCTCATAAACATGATAAACCGCTACACAGAATTTGGTCAAACTTTGCACATATTTAGGGCACAATGTGTAAATGTGCATATTACCAGGAAATTCCAATTCCTTTATTGTTTCCGGGAATTTTGGCACTTTTCAACATATATACATTTTGGCCATACCTTGAATAAAGAGATGTCAGTTTGGCAGCGTAAATCCTCTTTAACCATTTTAACCGCTGCACAGAATTTTGTCAAACTTTGCAGACATTTAGGACACATTATGTAGATGTGCAACAGGAAATTGATATTCCTTTATTTTTCCCGGCAATTTCAGCACTCTGAGTTTTGGGGGAGCGTGGGGTATGTGAGTTTGCTCACTTTTTCTTTCATTATTCATGTTATGGCCTGGACATTACAATGTCATTGCTCTTTATAGTTATTACAAGAAGAAATAAAGAAAAAAAACAAAATAGCTTCAGCACATGTCATGGGTACAGAGTTAATATATATACACACAATTATGTTATGTACATGTGTTATCTTATACCTCCCTTTTATAATAGCCATACCTCTGATGTTTTTGTTACATCATGTGCATGGAAGGACCCATACGTCGCCTTTTGATGTACTCTCTTGTGCAACCCATATAATTCAAATAGCCGTAGACAAGGTCTTTGATTTTATATTTAAATTTGTTTAATACTGTTTTAAAGCTAGAGTTGTCTGACATGGATACAGAGGAGGATACAGATAGATATCCGTTCCACGTCAGTAGGAAATACCAGGGAATCGCCCTCGTGATCTCTAACTTTACCTCAGGGCCACACAAGAGGAGGGGCGCCAACAAAGACCTCAAGTACATGAAGAAAACATTCAAACGACTAGGATTTAAAGTAGATTGTCATGAAAATTTAACAACATCCAAATTTGTGTCACTTTTGAACTCATGTAAGTGCAATAACTTTTAAATTGAAACACATATAAAATTTTATTTGGCATTGTTTTCCAAAATTTAAATTTCCTTCTTTATGAATCAGACTGAGACAGTTTTTTTTCTCGTAATCTGTTTTTAATCGTATTGCATATTAGACTTTTCTGATTTTTCCTTTTTAGATTCCAAAAACAAGAGTCTGAAAGAGTATGATTGTTTTGTATTTGCTATCAGTTCACATGGAATTGAAAAAGAGGTGAAAGGAAAAGATCAAGTGGTCCATCATCATGCTATACAAATGTTTGATGATGAATTCTTTGACACCCAAGACGTTCTGGATTACTTCAGCCCTAAAGCATGTAAAGCACTGACAAACAAACCAAAACTGTTCTTTATTCAGGTATTGAAATGAAAAAAATGTTCATGTTTTTTTTATCCTGGGAGAAAAGTAATTAAGATTAGGCAACAGTCTTAGAGATATTTCAGGGTAATAAAAACTTTATTGGTTAGATGGCCTCATTATTACTTATACTTATTTGTAAACATGGTAAGGAGCTTTATACATCAAAAGAATGTAACAACAAAATGTAAAAACAAAAATAAATTATATTCTAAGGGAAGTGTATATACGTGTATATTCATTTCAGAAAATAAAATAATGTGGACCTCTGAAATTTTGATTTGTGATGTATGTGTTTGTCAGGCCTGTAGAATTCCCGAGAGTAAAGCAACTGAAGATCAAAGAGACGCAGGCATAGGGTTTGATCACGGCGCCGGACACAAACAAGGGGGAGGGGAACCAGGCCATAACAAAGATGGACATGATAAGATTGACTATCAGGACAATGAAGGGATCTCTGATGAAGGTACAGTTATTGCTACTTGATGTATTCTCAAAATATATACACTCTGTAGACTAATTTTAAGAAAATGTTTCAGTATTCCCTCTTGTGAATAAGGTTGCTTCCATATAATTGACACATACAACGTATGCATACTTTAGGGGATGTTAATAAGAGGATTGAAGATAATTATATACTATGCATTAGAATCAGCATGTACATTGTATATAGTTTACTATTATGTATTGAAAAAAAACCTTTGTATGGTAATCAAGAGAAAAAAAATTATATCTGAAAGCTACTTCTGATGGACAGAAGAAGTGTTGCCAGAAAAACCGAGTGTTGCTAAAACGCGGAACGGAAAACGGAAGGGAAAGCGGAACAGAACGGAAAACGGAATATATTATTTTGGATTAAATCACTTAAAATACACAAATTTTATCATAAATGATATATCTTGTACACATTCAATCCCCCACTATTAAATACAAGTTGATTTTGTCATGCTCAATCTCTTATTTACAAAAGTCGCTAAAATAGCAGTCACATAGAATCGAATTTGAAAGGGGGGGGGAGGGGGTAAACGAACTTGAAAAGTATTTGACAAGCAAAAAACACAAAAGAAGACAATTGTTTGATTCGGGAGGGGAGATAAAACACAAAAAGAAAACAATTGTTTGATTCGGGAGGGGGGATAAGTTCCAACTCCCAACATCTTTCAGTACTATTTTTTACACTAACTTACTACATTTATTATATTCACAAAAAGGGTGAGAATGTGAACTTGAACAAAAATTTCCGTAGTAAAAAGGTTAAGACTGAGGTGGGGGGGGGGGGGGGCAAATATTTGATATCTAAATGAACCATGGAAAGAGAAAAAAAAATGTTTAAAAAAATTATTAAGATTACGTTTAGGGCAAAACTTTACGGCTCGAATAAACATCTCTTATACACACTGGTTGTTAAAATTTATTCAAAAATAGAGTCCTTTTGTGGATAGACAAAGTTGTGGTAGATATAATGCAGACTGCAGAATCTTTGCATTCATTGAAGTTAAATTTTGTTTGTTTGCGGCACATATGTGTGCATGTTTGGGGTGGGGGGTTGTTTGGGGAGGGGAGGCGTATATGAATGACCCCGTAAAAATGAGTTTGTTTTCCCGCTCATCGGAAATGTCTTAAAAGTTGTAATAGGTCTGCCCCCCCTTTTTGTGTCCAAAATGTACATAAGGTTTAATAAATCAATTTTTAATGTGGCTGTGGGCCCCTACGCAGACCCGAAACTGCCACCCCCCTTTCATGACTCGCGAATTCGACACTGCGTGCATAATCTGAATAGCATAACTAGTTATTTTTGTCTTTTCAGACATTGACATTGGAAACAAATTGAAAGAGGGGGTGGGGGTCAGAAAAAAATTTCCAATATACAACGAATTTGACAAGCAAAAAAAAAGGGGGGGGGGATATGTCCTTTGCCCAAACACGAAAATCCTATTTCGTGTGTGTGTGTGTGGGGGGGGGGGGGGATTTCTATCAGTAGCATTTTTTCCACGGAGGGTGTGTATGACTCATGAATATATAATAGTTTAATACAATTAATTTTTATTAGAAATGACTTTTACCACAAGAATATTGCTCTTTTATCTGATTTATATTGAATCTATGTTATTTGTTTGACAAAAAATTTTCCGTTTTCCGTTCCGTTCCGCTTTCCGTTCTGTTTCGCGTTTTAGCAACACCCAAACTTACCTGTTTTTTTTTTTTATGGTTTTTCCTCATACAAATTTAAATGTACACTGTACGATGTAATTTTTGTCATGTGTAGAGTCTGACACAGAGGAGGGAGAGGTGTCTGACACAGACATAGAGGATTCTGACCTTGAGTGTGACACTGACCTCCCCACAACCAACAGTCAGGATACAGACACACGGGAGGTGAGTTAAACAATCAATGTATTGGTAAAATTGACATTGTTCAACAAATTACAGAACTCAGAAGCATGACTGTGTAATACATGTATTGGTATAACTCAGTTTTAAGTAAAGCCTAGTTGTAATGATGACTACATGTATTTTTCTAATTTTTTGTTTCAGCAGGAACAAGACACATCAGATGTAGAAAAATATTTGGAACAAAGACAGATAGAAATTGTCAGAAATTTAAAGAAATTACAAAATGAGGTCTGGCAGCTTGGTAGAGTTTACACCCAGGAGGCCAACAAAGAAACAAATACTCACAAAGCAGCAGGAGGGGAAGGGGTAAGTCCAGTCTGGAATATTGGTTTTACTTGAAGGACATTTATTATATTAAACACATTTTGCATTTTTGGTACACTTAAAAAAGATTAATTGTCCATAGAACATGTTTTTATTTATTATTATTTATGTCTTTTGGATGAGTTAATATTTACATATAGCATATTTTCTGTGGGACATAATTATGTTCCCCAAACGAAGTTGGGGAACATATTGTTTTTACTCTGTTTCTTATTATGTTCCCCAAACGAAGTTGGGGAACATATTGTTTTTACTCTGTTTCTTATTATTATTATTTTTCTTCTTCTTCTTCTTCTTCTTCTTCCTGGGTACTTTTTTGTCCGGGAGTGATCTTGTAAACTGTTCGTCCGATGTAGGTAAAACCTTTTTAGGGTCAGTAGACATGTTATGTAGATTTGCGGAATCAAGGTCATTTTGCGCGCACGTGCTTGCAAGAGCGCGCACGTGCAACACGTGAAATGACCAATATAATGGATATTGTAGTAACTTTTCTATTTTTTGATGAAATTTTTTGAAACTCATAATGTAAGGATACATTAGAAGTATAGACAAGATAGCATGGTCAAAATAGCAAGATCTCACGCGCATGCACGTGCGCTTCGCTCTGATTGGCTGAAACTAAAGTCTCAATATCTTTCTTGTTTCTTGTCATAATCCTTTGAAATTTTGAACATAGTCCTACATTATGAATATCTACAGCATGATATAAAAGAATTTTCATGAAAGCATGCGCATGTGCGCGTGCTGTAATCTGATTGGCTGAAACTTTAAATGGCTATATATCCTTTGTTTTTTGACGAAATTCTTTGAAATTTAAAATATAGTCATGCATTAGGATAACCTACAACATGGTATAGAAAAATATTCATGAAATCACACGTATGCACGTGTGCTGCAATCTGATTGGCTGAAACTTGAAATGGCTATAACTCTCTTTTTTTTCAACCAAACCGGATGGGATTTAGAACAGTGATAGATGTAAAGGACTCCTACAAGAAGGTATGGTCATCATGCACGTGCACGCACGTGCGTGCATTTAGAACGAGTATAGTTAAAAATACACTTGAATGAGTGATTTTTATTTCTTTTGGACTGAATGCTTTAATATATAGTATATTAAAATATATAGATAGTGTAGACAAGATGATATGGTCATAACGCACATGCATTCACGTACATGCGCTTGGGTGCAATGCTAAAATATGAATATAATTGGTATCCTTTTGGGAAAACGTTGTTAAAGTAAAAAAATGCACAGAGTTTGTCTTATTTAATGAAGCTTACAGGGAATATGGCACCAAAAGGGAGTTGGGGAGCGTTTGGGGAACATCTGTAACGGTTCCCGTTACAATTAGCACTAGTTATTATTATTTTTCTTCTTGGGAAAATTTTGTCCGCGAATGATCTTGTAAAGTACACATCCGATTAAGGGGAAACCTTTTTAGGATAAGTAGGCATGTTATGTAGATTTGCGGAACAAAGGTCATTTTGCGCGCACGTGCTTGCAAGAGCGCGCACGTGCAACACGTGAAATGACCAATATACTTGAAATTGCCGTAACTTTAACATTTTTTAATGTCATGCTTTGATATTTAGAATATATAGACATATTATAAATGTAGATAAAAGGACATTGTCAACATGCCATTTTGCGCGCACGTGCTTGCAAGAGCGGGCACGTGCAACACGTGAAATGACCAATATAATGGATATAGCCGTAACGTTTCTATTTTTTGATGAAATCTTTTGAAATTTATAATGTAAGGATATATTAGTAGCGTAAACAAAATGACATGATCAAAAAAGCAAGATCTCACGCGCATGCACGTGCGCTTCGCTCTGATTGGCTGAAACTAAAGTCTCAATATCTTTCTGGTTTTCTGACCAAATCCTTTGAAATTTTAAACATAGGCATGTATTAGGATATCCTACAATAAGATTTATAGCAATTATCATGAAAACACGTGCATGCACGTGCGCTGCAATCTGATTGGCTATTGCTTTAAATAGCTATAACTCCCTTGGTTTTCAACCAAACAGGATGGGATTTGGAACATGGATAGATATAATGGACTTCTACAAGAAGATACGGTCACCATGCATATGCATACACGTGCATGTACGTGCGCTGCAATCTGATTGGCTGAAACTTTGAACAGCTATAACTCCCTTGGTTTTCAACCAAATGGGGTGGGATTTAGAACATAGATAGATTTAATGGACTTCTACAAGAAAGTATGGTCGCCATGCTCATGTGAGCACGTGCGTGCACGTAAAATGAGTAAAATCAAAATTACACTTAAATTAGCGTATTTTTTAATACTTTTGGATTAAATACTTTGATATTTAGTATATTAAAATCTATAGATTGTGAAGACAAGATTATATGGTCATTACGCGTGCAATGCTAAAATTTGAATGAAATTGGTATACTTCTGGGTAAACGATGTTAAAATCTCAAATGCATAGAGTTTGTCTTATTTAATGAAGCTTTTAGGGAATATGGCACCAAAAGGAAGTTGGGGAGCGTTTGGGGAACATCTGTAACGGTCCCCGTTACAATTAGCACTAGTTATAAGTAGCTGTTAGTTCTCCAACACAGCTGTATGTTTTGTAGGCTCTATCACCTGAGATGGAACAAACAGAGGATGAGCTGGATCCAGCAAGAGGAATCAGATTACATCCTCCAGCAGAGATGGGAATGCTGGGAGATGACGTGGATCCACCTAAAGCGCGGCGATATCGGCCGACGGTGGCCCCAGTCCATATCACGTCTGTCCCCTGTCACAACGATATGCTCATCATGTTTGCATCACCACAAGGTCAGGTTCTGACTTTTATTGTCCTGTTGCAAGATTTTGTTATCCTGTTTGAAGGTTTTGATGTCTTTTATAAGATGTGATGTCAACTTTTGTTTTGCTGTTGTAAGGTGCATTGTTGACTTTTGTCATCACAATGTAAGGTTTAGTGTTGTTTTTTTGGTTCTGTTGTAAAATTTGTTGTTGACTTTTGTTGTCCTATTGTAAGGTATGGTTTTGATTTTTGTTGTCTTGTTATGAGATCTTGTTTTATTATGAGAAACTTTTCATCTGAACAGTAGTTCAGGTGATAAATCTTTGAATCTTGTGATCAATAGAAGCACTGAGTTTGATGATTTATTTAATATTCAGAAATATAAATAACATCAATACTTCTTTGAATGATTGATTTAAGACCTTCAGTATGATTACATTAATTTCATTTTAATCAGGACTGATTGAGATGTATTTTAACTAAAATTAAATCAAAAACTTATGAATTCCTTTTTCTTCTTTTAGGAATGTATGCTTTTAGGAGTAAAGAAGATGGCAGCTACATGTTGCAGTTCTTGTATGAGGCTGTAGAAAAATTTTATGGAAATGGAAAACTTAAAGACAATAATACTGACTTCCTTGAAGTTTTGAGGGAAATCACAGCAGTCATGTCTAGCAGGTTGTTCTATGGTAAAAAGAAATACACCAATGTTTCATGTACCATACATAAGCTCTCCAAAGATATTATCTTCACTCAAGGAAAAAACATGACTGACTCCAAGTTTTCAAAGAAACTGTCCAACATTTTAACATCTTTTTTTGCTAATTGGAAATAAAAACATATTAAATATATATTTTTATTATTTGATTGAATAATTTCCTTCTCTCTGATTGGCTGAGATCCAACTATTACTATGTTAGAAAAATACTACGTTGTATTGACCTGCACTTGATGTTTCAGGTCAATACAAGGAATTATTGCAGGTCAATATAAGGAATTATTGAGCTGTTCAATTTTTTCTGTTACAATGTGTTCTTGTTGAAATTTCTTGTTAAAACTTTGAATTAAAGCAAAGAAACAGTCTTTTAGGAGTTTGCTATCATTTAATCATATAATAAAACAGTTATTGCTGTTTTTTGCGGTCAATACGATGATTTAGCCACCTTCAAAGTACAATATTCACTTCGCCCTTCGGTCTCAGTGAATATTGTACTCCTCAGGTGTCTAAATCATCGTATTGACCTAGAAAACAGCAATAATTGTATAATATATACCTATACCCCGCAAGTTTTCAAAGTGTCCAACATTTTAACATCTTTTTTTGCTAATTGGAAATAAGAATGTAAAAATATTAATATAAAAATTTTATATCCTATGCCCCCCCCCCTTTTACCCAACCAAGCATTTCAGTGAATTTCTTGTTAAAAATTGTGAAGTAAAACAACAGGGGATAAAGTTATATGACATTGTATTGTGACTATAATTCTGCAGTTTCAGCTGTTAAATGGAATTGACTTAAAATTGATCATGATTGACAGATCCTATAGGTCAGGATACTTTAGATAGACTTATGCCTAGGTCACATTTAAGCCAATGGTCGGGCGACTAACTTTTTCTGGTGTTGTCGGCTGAAAGAACATGATCAGCCGACACAGTATCGGGCGACACGGAGCAGTCACAGTATTTCCTAGGGACACCGATGACTTGGATAAATAACACAAAAAATCTTTTTTCTTTAGAAATCAGCAATAGTTTTTAATAGATCTATATTTAGATAGATGAGGTGAGTAATGTTTGCAAGGCAAAGTGGCAGAATCTTATAAAATGTTGAAAATGTGTGCAAAATTTTGTTATGGAATTGCATAAAAACGACAATACCGACTTAACAAAAAGACTACCGATGGTCGGACGATAATCGAAGGTTGGTCGACGGATAACTTCAGTTGAAGAAATCGGCTACCGACGCATGAAAAATTATAACTCGGACCGATGGACAAAAAATTGGTCGGCCGACAAAAAAAGAGGTCAAAATCGGCCAAGACAACGGCCGATGAACTGACGACTATCACCCGAAGAATCCCATTTTTGCTTCAAAACCCGTTGGAAATGTGACTGGGGTTTTAGCTATTGATCACAGTAAACATGTTATATCTAGGTCAGGATATTTTAGATAGACTTACTATTGATCATAATAAACAGGTCTTAAAGGTCAGGAAACCTTAGATGTGACAATGAAGCTGTTTAAATTGACTCTGACAGAAATTCTTGTAATTTTAGCACTATATTACATTACAATTTAAATATGAGAACTATCCATTGTAATACTCAAGACACATGTTACCTTTAGCTGTTTAGCTGTTTAGTACCAACTGAGGATAATATAGCTAGCGATTATGTCCAACTCTGCTTCAACCTCAGGCCAGTCACAAAATAATGTGGATCCTGTGCTACTCGCAATATATGCGTAGGATTACAGATCTTTATAGATCAATGACAACAACACTTTGCTTTTGTAGAACGAATTGTATTATGGAAATTTACATCAACATGACATCTTGTTAATACAAGAAATAAGGGAGAAGTGCCTAAAATGCATTCTCATACCCTGTTTATATACTTGCTGACAGCCCTATACCGTTAGGCTCCTATTAGGCATCCATTAGGCCTCGTTAGGCTTCTATTAGGCACCCATTAGGCCTCTGTTAGGCTTCTATTAGGCTCCCAAATAATAGGGTCTCCTGCTACCTAACATGATTAGGCCACCGTTAGGCTCCCATTAGGCATCCATTAGGCCTCCGTTAGGTGTTTGGCACCAAGTAATAGGGCCTCCTACCACCTAACATGATTAGGCCTCTAAGACACCCAATGTTGTTAGGATACCATTAGGCTACCTATTGCTAGTGATAAGAAAATTAACTACAAGTATAAAAGTTTAACTACTGAAATCTAATCTACTCATAACTGTATATATGTTACGCGATAAAAACACTAAAAAAACACTACAATGGTCCCTCCTTAACAACTATGGACTTCCACTGTCCATCAAAAAAACACACGACAATTTAACAAAATAAATATGTACAAACTTACTTTACCGATTTAGAAAAATAATCTACATATATCTGATTAGAATGATTTTGAAAACATGTTAAAACAATGGACACAAAATAACAATTGTCAAAGCATATGCTTCCTGAGCTCACTGAACACAATATAAAACAACTAACAAGTCAACAAGTTTTTTTTTAGTCTAGTTCTTCTGCACTACATTCCCTCTCATGTTGGGCCCTAGCGTGTTCCATCATTTCACTGTGGAGATACGAAAAGAAATCCCTCCAGTCAATTTGTTCTGGGTCTAGAAATTGAGATGTTGATATTTGGTGATTTCGTCTAATTATAATGCCATTTAGTGTTTCTCGCCTAGTAGTCTTTATTTTCATTAGGCCTCTTAAATCCGACTGATACCCGGCCTTCTGCACCAGTCGCGTTTAGTTCAAATCTTGCCTTTTCTCTTTTACCACACAATTCGCAGGTTCGCAAGGAATTGTGTACCTATTGTATCCCTGTTTGAACAATTCCCTTGGATTACGGCGCTTAGGATTATAAGGGCGTCCCCTTCTTCCTAGAGTTCCATATCTACAAGTTTCGGGGTTTCTCGGATTTTCATGGGTACCGTAGAATCCTTCACCCGCGCTTGGGGGCTTGGCGGTACCAGTTTACCAGTTTACCAGTTTATTAACATCTCTTTGGTTGTTATTTAACAACACAGAGATCAATACATATTATCATAACATATATATATACATGCGTGAGCATAACATATAACATATATACAAAGTGTGCTTATAATCAAGTATTTCCATATATGTTTACATTGATGTTAACCTGGAGGTTTGACTCTCTCGTTTAAAATTTTAATAAAAGAACAGAGTTTACTCAATAGTCCAACATTTTTTGAAGAAAACAATTCATTAAATTTGATAATATTTGGTCTTGTAAAATAATATTTCGGAATGTGTAATTTTCTTTCATCTTTTAATTTTTCACAACATAAAATATAGTCGAATTCATCACCAAGATCATTTTTACATAAAAGACATATTCTATTAATTCTTTCAATACCTTCCCGTCTTCCTGTTTCAATGGGTAATTTATGGTTTGCTGTTCTAAATCTAGCTAAAATTTGTTTCTTATAATTATTTAACCTGCTATCTACATAAAATTGACATCCAAAGTGTAAATTTGTAAATAGATTATATGTCACACCTTTTGAAGAATCTTTACAGGTTGAATTCCAATTTTGTTGAAACTGATCTAGTAATTTTTGTTTCAAACTTTTAATAAGCCAATTTCTATTAATTAATTGATTCTGGTTCCAAATATTACTATATCCACAATTGTCTAAAATTGATTTCAAATTCTTTAACCATTTAGATTCATGTCCATTATCAAATTTTGCACGAAGTAATTTATACATTAAAAAACAATATTTTGATTGTTTTCCATATAAAATTTTTGACCAATATGCAATAATTCTTGTTTTGATATGTATACTTAAAGGTACTCTACCTAATTCACCATAGATCATAAAATTTGGAGTACTTGGTTTTAAATGAAAAAGCATTTTACAAAATTTTAAATGTACTCTTTCTATCATTTCAACATTACCATAACCCCACACTTCACAACCATACAATAAAATTGGAATTACAATCTTGTCGAACAAATACAATTGGTCATAAAGAGAAAGATGTAATTGGTTACCCTTTTTCAAAATACCATACATAGCTTTCGTTGCTCTTTCAGTAGCATATTGTTTTGTCTTAATAAATGAGCCTGTTGTTGAGAATATAATTCCTAGATATTTGAAATGTTTAACAATTTCAATTTCTTTGTTATTGTAATAAAAAACTTTATGCGGTATACGTCCCTTTGAAAAAATCATTATTTTTGTTTTTTCTATATTAACTTCTAGCTTCCATTTTTCACAATACAATAAAAAACTGTGCAACTGATTCTGTAAATCTTCGGGTGTTTCCGATAGTAAAACTGTATCATCTGCATACAAAATAATCAGCATTTTTAACAAGACACCAAGTTCTTTTTCAATCTCATTTGATATTGTTGAGACACCAATATTGTTATGTGCAATTAAAAAAGATTCTACATCATTCAGGAATAAAGCAAATAAAAAGGGCGATAAGTTTTCCCCTTGTCGTACCCCTATTTTGCATGGAAAATATTCAGTAACCATATCATTAACAGCTATTCTGGATTTACTTTCAGAGTACATTTTCACTATAACTTCAAAACATTTTCCGGTAATATTATTTTGAATGAGTTTTTGCCATAGTCCTATTCTCCATACATTGTCAAAAGCAGCCTTAAAATCTATAAATGCACAATATAGTTTCTTTTTCAATAAAAAGGATAATTCGATTAGCGATTGTAAAGTAAAAATGTTATCTATTGTAGAATACTTTGATCTGAAACCCCCTTGATTTTCATTTAGTATATCATATTGCTCAGCATAATTATTTAATCGTTTAGCTAAGATGGATGTGAATAATTTACCCATGCAACTTAATAAAGTTATAGGTCTATAGTTTTCAGGGTCATTGTCGTTCCCCTTATTTTTATAAATAGGCAATATATCACCAACAATCCAAGCTTCAGGTAAAATTGCTGAGTTAAAAACAATATTAAATAACATAACATATACCGGTAACATAATACTAGCAGAGGATTTTATGTATTCATTATAAATTTCATCACTTCCAGAACTTTTGTTATTTTTAATATTTTCAATTGCGTGTTTTATCTCATCTTCAGTTATCACTGAGTCTAGTTCTTCATTAGTATATGTATTTCTAATCTCATTTGATAGTGGTTCGTCATTATTTACATCGCTATTATTGACGTTTTTAAAGTAATTGTAAAATTCATCAATATTAATATCACATTTTTTGTTGTTCGGCCTTTTATTAATTATTTTCCAATAACTTTTTGGATCGTTACTTCTCAGTTTTCTAATTTTTTTCATAATTAAATTTCTATGTTTTTTCATACTTTTATCCATAGTATTTTTATATTTACGTTCATTGATACGTACTTCTTCTTTTAAGATGCTTGAACGATATTTCCTAAACATTCGTTTTGATTTCCTATATTTTTTTTGTGCTATTTTGCATTCTTTATCAAACCATTCTTTTCTTTTCTGTGGTAGTTTATTGTGAGTTTGGCGAGCATTAAATATTCCAAAAGTTGTGCGTGCCACGAATCGCTCGCCGTTGATATAGAGTTTATCCATAACCAGTTGCGCTTTGATGCCCTGTCGTTTAGCTTCTTTGTAATGCGGGTATAATATTTTCCGGTTATCGTTTATTTCCTTGGGAAATTGCTCGAATACACTGAAATCTGCGTTGCCTTGATCGCCTCGTTCCCGTAGATCGGTGATCACCGTGATTGCAGTTTTTCGGACCTTTTCACGATCCTTAAAGTTTACAAATTTTGCCACAACTGCCCGAGATTTTGCCTCTTGCTTCCGGCCCATACGATGTACTCGATGAAATGGAATTTCATCCGTTATTCCGAGTTTTTCAGACATGAACGCTTTTAGTGCCTGCTCACATTGTTCTGATGTTTCATCTTTTGGTTCATGAATTCCCACAAATATAAGGTTGTCACGCATAGACCTTGCTTGTAATTCATTTTGCTGGTCTTTTAGATCTAACATTTTTTTTGTCATAATTGTCATTTGTTCTCTAAGTGCCTCACTCTCTTTTTCTAAATTCTCATGTCTTTTTTTGGATCTCTTCATTTCTGCTACTATCTCTTTTGATGTTTCTTCATTCTCATCTAACTTTTCACTAGTGAATATAATGTTTTTTTCAATGTCTGACATTTTTGTTTTCAATTCAAGCACGTCAGTTGTGACAGTATTCATTGTTGCTTCAAATTTGCTGATTCTAGATTCAATTTGATCAAGTTTATCCAATTTTTGGCAAACTTTGTCCAATGTTTTGGCCAAATTGTGTATTTTATTACCATAATCAATTGGCTGTAATCCACCCTGATATTGTTGTACCTGTTGTACAGGGTGAACAGGCGCTACAGGCGAGAAACTGTAATTCATTACAGGCAATTGAGACATTTGTGGTATTTGGTATGTATTATTTTGATTGTTCTGCATACTCTTTTGATTGTTTATTGGAGTTGAGAATAACGGTTGCGAGATTCTTTGTGTGTCTACATTGTCTTGAGAAGTACTCATAACACTTACTTTTCTTTGTTGCGCTTCACTGCTCAAATCTGGGCCTTCTTTTCTTTTCTTCCCTTTCTTAGATTTATTTCCATTAGAACCGCTGGATCCACCTCCAGATGTTTTAGGCCTCATAACACGCAGTTGAAATCATTCGGTAAATCCCCCAAAGTTTGTTACTTTTAAACTGAAAATATCTTATATTCAGAGCTCGAAAAATCATGACTCTCATTCAGCTCACGCATGCGCATGCCGTAACCGGTAACTACCTTAAAATTATTCTCCCCGGTCTCAGTTCCAATTTCATATATCTGTCGGTGGACGACTTTGTGGTCCTTTAACAGTTCTCTTTCTCCAACTCGCAGGCATTCCTCTTGCATAGCATTTATGACAGCTTCCTGCAATGTCTTAGGCCTGGTTCGCTTCACTGCCAGACGAAAATCTTCGGACTGTCCACATTTGTCTAAAAATGACTTAATGGCATTTTCTTCCACTATGTCAGGGTTTTCTGGATAAGCCCGCCTGTAAAGGTCTTCAATTGCCTGTCCAAAATCTCTCAAGGACTCTCCAGATTGCCGCTTTCTTAGTTTAGCATCTGCTATACAGCGTTCCTTCATAGCAGAATGGCCAAATCGCTGTTCCATCTTTTGTTTAAGTTGTTCGTAATCCTTTTGAACTGCAAGGGGTATCCCGTAGGCAAAACTCTCTGCCTGACCTCTCAGTGTACTCAGCAGTACTCGACGAGACTTCTCTGGTCCCCATGAGTTCAGCTCAGCAATATTCTCAAAATATTGATTAAATTCATTCCAAACGTCATTGTTTGCTCCGGAAAAGGTCCTCCTAACTGGATATTCATTCACCCTCGAACTCATCTCATGTTGTGTCCTCTTTATTGGAGTTGCATCAGCAAACGGCAGTTCTAAGTCATGTCCCATTCCAGGAGAACCTTGACCTACATTAGGGGCGTTAGGCCTCAGATGCCCAACCACGTTAGGTTCCTGATAGGTACCTTTTGGGTTGTTAGATGCCTTGCCACCAAATAAGCCAAAGTTTGATCCCTGATGAATTTCTGTTACCTGGTCGTTAGCTTCAGAGCTTGTTCCCACATATTTCCATGATACTATTATGATCAGTAATAGTATTACACTTGCAACTGATCCAAGGACAATTGTTGCATTTCTATAAGACTGTCGGACAATTTCATGATATGGAAAATGAGTCCAGGCTATATACATTAAACAACATCCAACCAAAGCAAAAAGAAACCAAACAGAAAGGGCTCTCTTTAAGCTCGGTCTAGACTCATTTTTCTCTCTGTAGACACTCATAGGAAACTCAGATTTTACAGGAGAGCAACCTGCGAGATACTTGTGGGCCTGCACTCCTGATAATTAGGTGTGCCTGGACCTACTCGACTTGTGGGTAGCGCATCTCCCTCAAACCCTGGTGAGTTTCCAATTCCGGAGTCGTTTAAATGACTTTCAAAATCTTGTTCAATCTACCTTTTTCGGCGTTATCCTTCTCCTAACTATTGGTGTTTCCATCCTGCTCAGTGTAGTATAAATCCAATATAGCACTTGAATAATTTCAAAGGATCCCACCGCTGCCACCAATTGTAACGCAACTGAGGATAATATAGCTAGCGATTATGTCCAACTCTGCTTCAACCTCAGGCCAGTCACAAAATAATGTGGATCCTGTGCTACTCGCAATATATGCGTAGGATTACAGATCTTTATAGATCAATGAGAACAACACTTTGCTTTTGTAGAACGAATTGTATTATGGAAATTTACATCAACATGACATCTTGTTAATACAAGAAATAAGGGAGAAGTGCCTAAAATGCATTCTCATACCCTGTTTATATACTTGCTGACAGCCCTATACCGTTAGGCTCCTATTAGGCATCCATTAGGCCTCGTTAGGCTTCTATTAGGCACCCATTAGGCCTCTGTTAGGCTTCTATTAGGCTCCCAAATAATAGGGTCTCCTGCTACCTAACATGATTAGGCCACCGTTAGGCTCCCATTAGGCATCCATTAGGCCTCCGTTAGGTGTTTGGCACCAAGTAATAGGGCCTCCTATCACCTAACATGATTAGGCCTCTAAGACCTCTAAGACAACAGCTTATAAAACTGTTATGTACTTCATTTCTTCTTTTGTGCCATATACATGTAATCATGATAATCTTCAGTTAATTTGCAATTTAGAAGTATCATCTCTCATATTTTAGCATATGAACAAAAAGTTACAATTTATATAATCTTCCATATTTGAGAATATGAACAATTTTTTTTTACACGATATTATATATATCTGAATTTGTGTTCATCTTTGCTGTTTATTACATCCTATTTATTTAGATTTTGAAAGTATTTTCTATGTAACGGAATTCTTATACACATGTATAAATATTATATTATATTATGACTGTATAAAACCTCATGCAAGAAAACTTATCCCCATTATTAAATCTTGTTAAAATTATAAAGTATCTGCATTTGTTGTTGCTTTTATTTTTATGCCCCCATCCGAAGAAGGGAGGGCATATATTGCTTTGTTGCTGTCTGTCGGTAACTTAGTTTCCATTCATTTTCTTCACAATCGTTGCACATACTGAAATAAAATTTGGTATATATAGATATCTCAGATAATATCTAGGTCAAATTTTGTTTTGGGTACAATCGCAGAATTTTTGACAGAGTTATGCCCCTTAGACTTAGAAAAAATTCCAATTATTTGCAGTTTCCGTTCATTTTCTTCGCAGAGGTTGCACATACTGAAATGAAATTTATTATACAGATTGAATAGATAAATATCTAGGTCAAGTTCTGTTTTGGGTGTGATCGCACAATTTTTGACAGAGTTATGCCCCTTGTACTTAGAAAAATTCCAATTACTTGCAGTTTCCGTTCATTTTCTTCGCAGAGGTTACATTACTGAAATGAAATTTAGTATACAGATTTATCAGATGAATATCTAGATCAAGTTTTGTTTTGGGTACGATCGCGCCATTTTAGACAGACTTATGCCCTTTTAGACTTTGAATTCCAATGTGCGGGGAGGGGAGGGGCATAAGTGTTTTACAAACATCTCGTTTTTTAAAATATTATTAATTTAGGAATAATTGTCTAATATTTTTGGTTTCATAATTTGATCAAGCAATTTGTTGGAGTGATTATTTGCATGAACGCCGAAGGCATTTATGCATAAAGTTATCATCAATGCTAATCCCTTAATCGTAGTCATGAAACCAAACAGTCTAGCAGTAATTCCTTAAATAATTACATGCTTCTGATTCAGTACTAAAATCACGTGCTTCAAGACCCGCCTGGTTCTCTATCTGAGTCTGAACCAGTTGCTTTATGAAGAAATTGAGTATTGTTATTACTAACTTGTAGTGTTGTATTTTACTTCTTATTTCATATTAAAATGATTTTTGATTCCATTCTATAATCAAGTGACATGTAATTTGATCTTTATACAGATTTGTTATAGTTAAGTGTTTTCTGTTTATATAGTAAGGGGTGTCCTATGATTTATCGTAAACATACTTTTACGATTATCACACGACTTAAGTATCAGTCACATTATCCAGCGATGGGGTATACGATGGGAAACCGATGCGTTTTTTGATGAAAATGGCGTGGTTGCCGGCCGGGTACCACTAGTGATCGGACGGTGACTGAGGCGATTTTGCGAATCGGTGGGGTCATCGGTAGGAAATAATTCGTAGTTAAAATTCAGCGATGTCTCCAACGATGCCTCACATCGCTCCTCATCGGCAACCCATCATTAACACATCTTACACGGATCGGCCGATGTATGGCCGAGCATCGTCAAACGTCCGTTGAATCTGAGGTCATCGGGGTGTTGAGTGGTGTTCAACAGATAACGGCCGATCATCGGTCGATGTTCGACCAAACATTGGCCTGTAGTCAACCGATGTTCGAACGATGTTCACCAATGTATGAGGGATGTAATATAAATCGGCCGATTATCCTAGAACATCGTTTTATGATTAGCAATGCTTCGCTGGGCCTTTGTAAGACCGGCCGGCAACCACGCCATTTTTATCATAAAACGCATTGGTTGCCCATCGTGTATCAATCGCTGGATAATGTGACTGATTCTTTAAGGACTACTAGGCCGATGTGGACCGATGTTGGGGCATCGTTAACACCACGGATTACGACCGATTACCACCGGTCTACGGCCACCGGCCGGAGAATGTGACCTAGGCATTATTAGGCCATTTAATATAAATTATAGGATTTCTAAATCACCACCATATACTTAAGAAAATACAGCTAAAATACAGCTAAAACAACCCGGGTTTTTCATCTTTGCAGTACCACGGGTCGATACCGAGTCCACAGCTCAATTATTTCAAATTGAAGAATACACCCTGTAATTCCTACAAACATCGAGTATTGCGACCAAACGTTTTCTTTACATGAAAACTTTAGTTACAGAGCTTGGATATCGAGCATCCGAAACATTTTTTTTCATCGTGTTCTGTTCTGTTCTTCACGGTGCAACTATAGTCTTGCTTGACACGTTATTACTGGTGAGATAAACATAAGTAAAAATGAGGACCTTAATTAATTGGCTTATTTTAACAGGGCAAAATAATAAGGAACCTCTGTCCTTCAGCTGGCATAAAAATTTCATAAATTTTATGAATTTTAAGGAAATTGCACCAGTCGATGGACCAGGCATTAGGAATTAGATACATTACATTACATCACACAATCAGTATATATACATACTGGTCCTAGCTGGAAAAAAGTAGGTAACATTGTATTTGTTTGTAGAAGGCTCGACATTTTGACATCTTTTTTTTAAGAACTGGAATTTAATTCTACAAGTTGGTAATCCAACTTACATGTATACCCATATCTCCTTTTCTTAGAAGGAACTTCTAGAAAGTTAAAAGTCAGTTATGAATTCCTTTAATACTAGTATTCCCAACGACTAGAATAAACTTCTAAATACTATTTCTATATTGGATTCGGAAATTTCATCAAAATCCTTTACAAAAAAGATACATTGCAGGTTCAAGTTAATTTTCTACCAAGCCTTTTTACTCTACACTAAAATATTTTAGAAACGTATAGTCCGATTGATAAATACGAGGGTTGTTCGAAAAGTTCGTGGATTCCTGTCATATCTTTATTTATTTACGCCATATGCTATCCAAATTTGGTAGAAATATTTTAACAATACATTTAAATGATTTTTATGAGACATTTTAAAGTATCTTGATTTATTTCAAACCTATCCACCTGTAGAATGGATAAAAAAATCCTAGACTTTTAAATTGAAAAATGTTTTGTTTATATATTTATTCTAAATTATGTTAAAAAGGAAGGTAGTCCTCATTGAAAGCGACAAAAAACGATGGCGTTTTTGAACGTCACGGAGAAGCAGATAACGAGGCAGTTTTGTGTTACACTTAGGAAAAATCCTGAATAAACTTTAAAGATGTTCAAGGAACAAAGAAATGTCACGAGTAAGCAATGCATGTTTTCGCAAATGGCAATGATTTTTAATTATAAATAGAAAAATCGAAAAGAGGCCCATGGGCCTTGTAGGTCACCTGGGCATCATGCAACAACTTTCAAATGATTTAATTTGATTTACGTTTTAAGCTAGATGCTTTGGCATTCACAATTTTGGCACCATTGCTAATCATAAGTATACACTTAGCAATTGCTTAGTTTGGTTACTTGATACCGATAGGCAGGGTAGGGGAACGAAAACTGCATTTCAACTAATAAGTAATATTCAGCAATAATCAGTAGTGCCCCTACCACACATGGACCCCTGACCTAAGCCCACACATTGCACATTTTTTGAAAAGGCACCCTTGCTTATCAAAAATGTTTGATTAATACCAAGGAGCAGATTTCAAACAATTAATTCATTTTCAGTATATCAGTAGAGCCCCCCTCCCTCTATGGTACCCCTGACCCAGGGGCCTTAAAATTCACAAATCTGGAAGAAGGGCCCCTGCTCCTCATAACTGACTATATAGGTTGTTCACCTTCTTATTACCCAGGTGCAGAGAAGAATATTTTCAAAGATTTAATGCATTTTCACTACAAAGTCAAAAGAGCCACACCCTATAACCAGGACCGCTGACCCTGGAGCCATAAAATTCACAATTTTGGTAGAGGCCCTCTTGCTCATCATAACTATGTACACAGGTGGTTTATTTGATACCCAGGAGCAGAGAAGAAGATTTTCAAAGAAATCATGTATTTTCACTATATAGTCAATAGAGCCCCGCCCTAACACCAGAACCCCTCACCCTGGGACCATAATATTCACAATTTCGGTAGAGACACTCTTGTTCATCATATTTATGTACTTAGTTAGTTTATTTAATACCCAGAAGCAGAGAAGAAGATTTTCAAAGAATTAATGCATTTTCACTATATTATCAATAGAGCTCCGTCCTAACACTACAACCCCGGACCCTGGGACCATAAAATTCACAATTTTGGTAGAAGCCTCAATGCTTATTACATTCATGCCAACAGTTTGACTGTTTGATATCAAGGAGTAAAAAAGAAGATTTTCATAGAATTCATTAATTTCAGTGCTTTTTGCCCCACCCCTCAGGTCCCAGGGAGACAGGGACCATAAAATTCACAATTTTTGTTTCTCTTCACCTATAGATGCTGTATATTGGTTGAAATTGGTTCAGTGGTTTCAGAGAAGAAGCTGAAAATGTTCAAATGTTAACACACGACGGACAACGGACGACGACGGACGAAAACGGATAGCAATAGGTCACCTGAGTGACTCAGGTGACCCAACAAATCTACATATTTGCAGTACGTATACATGTTCAGGACAATCACACAGAGCCAAGACATGATCAATTCTCTTAGTCCAGGATCTTGATGTCTTCAACTGCTCAGAAATTTTTCCAGATTCACCATATTCTATATATTTACTCACTCATTGTCTTGACCTGTCTTGACCTCATTGTCATGAACAAAAAATCACTTTCAACTTTCTTTTTCCCTTACTTGAGAGTGGTTCTAATAGAATTATGTAGAAAATAAATTATGCAGAAAAAATCATTTCATGGAATTCAATTTAAAATGACAATATAATTAAATTTTACATTACATATATATAAAAGAAGAGGACAGAA